AAAAAAATAGGGTAAATTTCATAGTTAGTCCAGAATTTTACCTCCAATTTCAATTTAATCCATGAACTTTCACTTGTTTTATTTTAGTCTTTCAACTATCAATTTCAAATTGGGTTAATCTCCAGTTGATCTGACGATGAAAATTAATAGAAATATTTAATTGAAATAAATTTGATAATTGATGGATTAAATTAAAAGAATTAAAATTTTATGGACTATATTAAAACCCGAGAGAAAATTTAGGGGTCACTTATGATAAATATCCAAATTAGGTGGAGTGATGTCTTTTTTTTTTTGAAAGTAGGTGGAGTGATGTCCTCCACTTTCAATAAAGTCAACAAAGTCAGTGGAGGTGTTAAACGCGTCAGTTGGACTGACGTGTTTAAAGAAACGTCAGACCAACTGTCGTTTATTAGGGCCTCTGTGGTGGGTTAAAAATGTTAAAAACGTTATTTTGACTGACGTTTTTAGGCTAAAAATGTAAAATCGATTGACGTTTTTAACCTAAAAATATCAGACCAATTGACGTTTTTAAAAGTGCCTGAGTTTGAGAATTATTTTCAAACCAATCAATTTTTGTGAATATTTTTTTACAACCACTTGATATAGGTCAAAACCTCCTTCTCCTATCGTTATTATTAGTAATGTCGTCCTCGGATGCCCACCTTCTAACCTACATGTAAGAGTAAGGGATTCTTATATCATCATTTGTAAAATGTGTGTTGGTTTGTCGTGTTTTTCATATGTTGAAAGGATGTTCATATAGTTTATTAAGCTGTTTGGATTCCATGCTAATTTCTTTTCATAAACTCATTATTGTTGGAATGATAAGATTAAAGATTGTATCGTAACCGTTATTGTGTAGTAGTGCAATTCTATCATGTAGCTTCTCCATATATCCTACTGTAAGAGGCAAAAAATGAAATTACCCCTCATTGGAATAAGATTTGGTATTTCAAGTAAAGAGTGTTTCTAAACTTGATCTCCCAGTCTTTTCTTCCTGCAAAACGAACAAACTGACCAAGATCGAAGTGCTTCGATCGAAGACATCAGTAATGGAACTGATTAAAATACCAATAGACAAGGAGAGTTTAGCCTACCTTTCACCATGGCTCCTTGTGCCTTTTATAGATCCATGTTCAATTAGGGTTTTCGCGATTTCTGATTCAAGGTGGCACACCTTGCTTCAATTCAGCGATTCTGTTTGGGAAGTTGCTGAAATCTCTCTAGCAATCCCCTTAATCTGGCCTACAATTAAGCCTATTAGCTTATCCAGGATGCCTGAGTTATAGGCAAATCTTTTGCTCTTTGTTTGACTGTTTCAAACAACTCGATTACAATGAGGATCGACATTTTCCCTTTCTCACTGAACTCAGCGAACAGCTCGGCCCTTTCTCACCGAGCTCATTGAACAGCTCGGCCTGGTCTATTTGTCTGAGTGACTAATGTCTTCCTTATGTGCCTTGTCTAGTCACGCACGTGAGCTCATTTAATGTCGTAACACATATAATAAAAGGAGCCCACCCCTTCATTTGCCCCCAGAAAAATGTCTGACAGTCATCTTTCATCTGTCAGCCATTTTATGCCTTTTCAGTAATTATTGCGCGTACTTGTGACATCCCCCTTTGTTTTGGCGGCATGCTTTGACATTTAAATATTGTCTTTTAGGATTCCTTCCCTTTATAAATTATTTCTCTTCGTCTTTCCTTTACTTTGACTCCTCAATTTTAGACGTATTTATGTATCTGCACTATCCTCTTTCCTTCTGCACTTCATCTTCCTCAATGGCCCCTCTCACGTCCTCCAAAATTTCAGCCTTCAAAACTAAGTATAACATCCCAGAGGATGTTGACATTCGAGTGGCTGGTACCGATGAACCTCTCATCGGAACCAGAGAGAGAATCTCAATCTATACTTGTGCGATTACAGAGGGTGGAGTTTGCTTCCCACTTGACCCCTTGCTTCTTTGGATGCTATCAGCTATGAAGTTGTGCCCCATCTANGAAGGCCTAACACGAATTGAACCCATAGTTCAGCCTAAACTGTGTAATCCTAGAATCGAACTACATTTTCAGTTCGAAAAACTGCTCCCTAAAAGTCAACATGATTTATGTAATTGCAGTTCAATCTGAGTTTAGAAATCTAAACAAAGATAATAGTAATCGGATAGTAGAGGATTCGCGAATTTGGAGTAACAGTAAATTTCTCATAGAACCTGGGTCAACACTATATTGTTTGAATTAAACACAAATATTTAATCTCTCAACCTGTCCAGTCCACCTCAGTTGCACCCCCAAAGAGCAGGCAATTTAGCCACTTCAATAAAACAATTGATTTCCAACAACTCTCTCTCTCTCTCTCTCTCTTAATTCTTGGTTTTGGTTTTACACAATTCATGCTAAGTTTCGCAATTGGCTGCACTGATTTTTGATGAATTTGCTGCCATTTTGCAGGGTGTAATTCCAATGTCTGAGCAACTGGAATACTTCAGAGAGTATAAAAGCAAACTGGAGCTAGCTATTGGAAAGAGAGGAACCAAAAACCTCATTAACAAGGCTGGGTTCATTGTTAGCGCCGGTACAAACGATTTTGTGGTCAATTATTTTGGCACACCGATTCGTCGGCAAAGCTACACTGTCTCTGGCTACCAGCAATTTTTGATGCAACATGTCCAACAGTTCATACAGGTCTGTCCCCTATTACTGTCTTTATCAAAGAGATAAATCACACTTTATGAAATGGGCACCCGATGACCGAAAAGTTTATGGGTGCAACTTGAGTGAGTTGGGTGGTTTGAGAGATTAAATAAAAGCAACTCAGTTTAATTATACAACTCTCAACCGAGTTAAACATAGACCCTAATAAACCTCAACTTTTTTGACACGAACATTGTTCATTTGGGGTAAAAATTCGGGTTGAAATAGGGATTTAATTCTCATGTTAACCAATTTGAGCTGGAAGGTGTGTTCAATTGCTGTTAAAATTTGAGTTGAGCCTAAATTTGATTCTTAAATTACACGGCCCAAGTTATAATTAGGGTTGACCTCATGTTTAACCCGAATCTGCTAATTGGTTTAAACCCAATCCAAGTATTATTCAAATTTTTCAGCTAAAGTACTGAAAATTTTTACCCAAGTATTGAATATTTTACTTAATAATTGCACCCCTGCCATATATAGATGAGGCCATCTATTATACATGAAGGCACTCCAAATTATCTTTCCTGCAATTTTTTGAGTTTGATCATAGAATTTTGTCATTGATAAAGAAAAATTGGATATACAACACAGATGAAAACATGTCTGAATACTCTCCTAAGTATACTTGGGAAAGAAAAATTCGAGTAAACAAACTACATTCTATAGAAGAAAACCTGACAAACTAACTACTCCTCGCACGTCCCGAAAGGCTAGAATGTTTTTTTTTTTTTTTTTTCTGATTGGTAAATATTGTTTCATTGATCTAAATAATTTCAAGTAAAGCATAATTCAAACCCTGCCAAAACTTCTCAAGTTACAACTTCGAGAGAGTTATTTGGGATTCAAAACAACATAATATGAAAGAGAATATTTGCATGATTCGAAGGGCTAGATAACTACTTCTCTTACATCTCGAGAGTTTAGACAGGCTATGAACTTTTTGCCATTTCATAAAAATAAAACTACAATTAAAACTAAGCCAATTAGACTCCCCTCACAAGCCAAGGGGTTAGGTTCAATCTCTCTCCTGTAATTTTAGATATTGTGTTAGTGATATCCTCAACCACTGATCCACATTTCTCATTGTGGTTTAGTTGAAGGTAGTCAAACTCAGAAATTATTGGCTCATCAAACATTATTATTAATGCGCTTTTATAATGGTAGTTAAGAAGATCCACCCCACAGATATCACTGCCAAGCATCACCTATGCAACTTGATCCTGCAATTTGAAGTGCAATGGAGTTTCGAAGTTGATCTAACAGTCATCACTTTTGCTGTTGAATTTTAAAGTTACAAGGTCATTGCATTTTCATTGCAATATGGACAAATAGAGAAAATTACATGGTCAAATATTTTCATTGCATATCTATTTTGTCAGACATTATTACAGGGATAGAGGGCAGACATGACTTCAATGGAGAGATCCAAGGTTTTTGGGAATCTATAGTAATCAATGGACCACCGATACAAGTAGTCGAGGAAGACTATCGTACCAAAGAAAGTATTGTAGCGAAAAATTTAATATTTTAAGTTCAAATTATGATTTTTTGAAATCACAAATATTATGAATTATCATGAAAATTATAATTTTTAAAGATCAAGTTACAATTCATAAATGAGAAATGTAACGATGAAAATCATGTCGGGTCGAATCATGCTCGGGTCTTGTCATTTTTGGGTGCATATCAAACACTAGTCAACCATAACCCAAACAGTTTAACTAATTGTGTCATGCCGATCTATTTATTTTCATGTCGTGTTCGTGTTGACATATATAATTCATGAATACAAAATTTAATGCTTAATTTTATGTCTAAAATTTCATTCACTTAATTAAACTTATGCTCATATTTTTTCTATAAAATAAAATTAACTTAATAAATAATAATAAAAATAAGTAAAAATATATTTTTTTATATAAGAATTAGGTTACTATTTGATAAAATATAATAAAAAACTAGCATTTTATTCTTATAATACTATTTAAACGTGTTAATTGTGTCAATTTATATTTTTTGTGTTTAACACTAACGCAATTCATTTATTATTCGTGTTAACAGGTTGTGTCATATACGGGTTCATGTCGAGAAAAATGATCAATCTTAACTCGTTAATTTCATATTGATTTTGAGTCGTATTTTTGTATTGTGTCAAAAATTGTTATCCTTAAAGAAGTTACAACTAATTGAAATAATTCATAATTAATCACATATTTTAAGATCGATGATGAATTACCTCAAATAGTTGTAATTTCTCCTTTAAAAACTATAATTTAACCTAAGTAATATTTTTGTGTATACAATAGATTTTATTTTATTTTATTTTTTGGTACCTTAGTGCTATGAATGAGTTAAAATTCATTAACTTTTGAGTGTAGGGTTTGCTGAATGAGGGGGCTAAGAAGATAGGCATAGTTGGGCTACCTCCAATGGGTTGCTTGCCTGGGGTCATCACCCTTTATTCAAACACTTTTCATCAACGTGAGTGTGTCGAGACATTATCATCCATCGCCAGAGATTACAATCAAATGCTCCAGAAAGAGTTGAAGGCATTGCAAAATGGTCTAACTCAGATATTTTATGTAGACATAGACCAACCACTGAGGGACATGATTCAACGGCACACAAGTTTTGGTAAGCACAGAGTGGGATCTTCTTTTTTTATTTTGGTTCTTGCACACTACTCTACTTTGTTGTTCTTCTTATTTCTTTTCTTCCTCTTCTACTGCATGATGATAATTTTCCACAATATGTCATCACCAAAACATGAACCCAACATGAAATTATTAAGTTTTTGATTGACTATTTGTTGACACAAACCAAAAAGATGACATAGACTTAGGGGTGTCCATGGGCTGGGCTAGGCCTGGGAAATTTTTTTCGAGCAGGCTGTGTAGGCTCAAGTCCTTATCCATGCGAGTTATCAGGCAGGGCGGGCTTCAGGGAAGGGTAGACTATCCACAACCCAACCCGTCACTCATTAGACGAGCCTTGCTGGTGGATTTGCTGGGCGGGCCTTTCTTTATATATATACAATTTTATTTAAAATGTTTTCAACTTAATAGTTTTTAAAATTATATTTTTAAATTAAAAATAAAGTCAAAATGGATAAAAAGTAAATAATGAATAATTTGATTTAAATAAAATAGAGTCATACATTACCACCAAACTTTCAAAGTTTCATATAATTAAGTTTTTTTCAAACAATTGGGTGAAAGGGCAGACGGGCCAGGTGAGCAGGCTGGGACAGGCTAGCGGGCATGCTCATGGGCAGGGTTTTTGCACGCCGGGTAATGGTTTGAGGGCAAGTCCAAACCCTCTCTTAAAGGATATTTAGCTCAGCTTCAAGCGGACTAACTATTGAGCCTATCAAGCTTTGATTTATTTTTTCGAGCCGAATAACAGTACTCGTGACAACCCAACCCATGAACACCCTTACATAGACTCACCAATCACGAATGATAAATAAGTATTGTTTTTGTTGAAAACACATAACCCACTTCCCACTTTTTGCATGGCAAACTAATTTAAATGATAGGCTATTCACAACTCAACTCGCCCCACTCACTAGGCGAGCCTTGCTGGTGGGTTTGCTGGGCGGGCCTTTTTTTATATATATACAATTTCATTTAAAATGTTTTCAACTTAATATTTTTTAAAATTACATTTTTGAATTTAAAGTAGAGTCAAAATGAATAAAAATTAAATAATGAATAATTTGATTTAAATAAAGTAGAGTCATATATTACCGCCAAACTTTTAAAGTTTTAATAGTTAAGTTTTTTTCAAACAATTGGGTGGAAGTGCAGACGGGCTAAGTGAGCAGACTGGCTGGGCTGGCAGGCAGGCTCATGGGTAGGGTTTTTGCAAACAGGCTCATGGGCCGGGTAATGGTTTGAGGGCAAGTTCAAGCCCTCTCTTAAAGGATATTTAACTCGGGTTCAGACGAGCCAACTATTGAGCCTATCAAGTTTTTGGTCTATTTTTTCGAGCCGAATAACAGTATTCGTGGTAACCCGACCCATGAACACCCCCAACCTAGACTCGCCAATCACGAATGATAAATAAGTGTTGTTTTTGTTGAAGACACATAACCCACTTCCCACTTTTTGCATGACAAACTATTTAAATGATACTGTATGAACAGCATATCTAATGTTTTTCTTTTTTTTTTTCTACATTTTTTATGTAGTATTATATGAATAGTTATAAAGCTAGAGAATTTTATTATTATTATTTTTTATTTTTCTAGCATCTGGATCGAGTGGATTTTTAATTTATTGGGAGCCCATTGGTTGTGGGTTCACCTAAGAGAGAGGTCCCGGACTTGGTGATGTGATTTACAGATTTACATGTATTGATCCAAACACAATGCAATTAACAAACAAATCAGCTTACTTCAATAGATAAGATTACTATTGACTACTACTCAATAAGAATACGAAATAATACAATCTGAACAAACATGATACTAGGGGCGGAGTCAAAAATTTCAGGCTGAGGCCCCCCCCACCTTCCTCAGGTGGCTCCGTCCATGCATGATACGATCCCTTTATCAGTAGTTGGTGCTGCTTTTCTTATGCTGTATATCTTTGTGCAACCCTAAAATATTCTCTGACAAATGGTTGATCTGGTTTACCTTTTTGTGTAGGTTTTGAAGAGGTTAGCACTGGTTGTTGTGGGAGCGGATTATTTGAAACTTCATTTACCTGCAACTTGGAATCAAATGTTTGTGAAGATGCTTCCAAGTACGTATTCTGGGATTCAATACACCCAACTGAAGCAGCATACTACATTATCTTTGAGGCCATACGACCCACCATTGATATTGCCATCAAATAATAATATGAAATGGTCATCGCAAATTTGACAGTCATGAATGAACTTGATCAGGTCAAATTCTTTGTTTTATTCTTAATTTTTATTGGGTGTAACTTGGTGTCATCATCCAATAAAAAACTTATAAAATGAATAACGTGAACCCAATTTTTTACTGGGATGGTAATCGGATTATATGGATAGGTGGCTATTGAAATTTGTAGCATTCATTTGTCTATTTATTCACTTATTAGTGAATAGTTATACCACGTGACACTGCTGTTGTTGTATAACTATTACATTAAATATTTTCTATGATGGATGCCATATTTAGAGCACAAATATGAGGCTAAATCTATTTATACTATTATCTACAACTAGGCCTACCAGTTGATTAGATTTCCATTCAAATTCAATTTGAGTTTAAATTCGATTAGTGAAATATGGATTATTTTTTTCATTAATTATCCAAATCTCATCCCGAATCCATTGATCATACTTCAAGGATTCAGATTCAAATTTATCATTATCCAATCCAATTTTATTCCAATTTCAAATTAAATATACAAATATGTCATTAGATTTATTCAAGTTCAGTTAAATTTCAGGTATAACTTGTTACTATCAACTCTAAGTAAGTTTTTAGGGTCGAACTAGATATTCAGATCAAATATCTAACTTTTAATAGGGCAGGACATGAAGAATAAAATTCATCAAATAATCGGATCGGATTCTTTAAAATCAAAATTAAATCGGTACAAATTCGATTAGAATTCAATCCGTTAATAGGCCTAATTCCGTCAATTACTTAAAGCCTTAATTTTATTTGAACCAAATTTGTTGATTAAATCCACTCTTACCAGTGTATTAAACTTGGATTCCGACATTGCAAGTTCTACTATCTGCATTCAGTAAAGAGTGATATATTATCAGTTTAATCCCCTTTAATAAATGGTGTTTGGAGGGGGTACTAAAATCTTATATTTGGACTTATGGTTAATCCGATACTTTTACAACAGCTTCTATGAGATCATTGGAAACTGTTACTTGAACTTAAAATACAAACTTGATTTGCTTTCTTGATCAATTACAATCATTAAATAGGGAGTTAGTTCTAATAAATATTAAAATTCATAGTTGAATCAATAATAATAATTGATCAAACCAATAAATCAAATTAACATTTTAAATTCATACAACATTACTCGGGATCATTTCATTATATAAACTGAAGAGTGGTCAATGGACTTAAACTCTTCTGGAGGTGGACTTGATATGGAATTGTATTTATAGAGATTTGGTCTAATGGTACTATTTACCTTGTGAAAGTTTTGTTTTCTTAAGAATTTGGCATTGAGACGAATAGTTGATAGTTGTTGAGGTGATTACCAGACAAATTGCTAACTTGGTATAGTTAATTCACACTACACACGATTTTATATGAGAACATGATATGTGTATACATTCATATAGTGTAGAGTTATATATTTTGGTTTGCATGTGCTTATTAAAAAGGCTTACAACTTAGAATTTTTATATTGTGGTAACAATTTGTATTATAAAATTACTATTCAGATATTTGATCACAAGGTGATGTTTGTGGGTAACATCTCTGTAAACCTTCGTGAGATTATACTCGTCCACTAGGGGGAATTTAAGGGTTTAAAAGCTTGTTGAGTATGCTAAATGCAGCCGTGAGTCATACGAAAGTAATTTTGTGTTTTATTTTATTATGTTATTTTGTTTTTAGTTTTTAGATTTTGGGATCCAAGTATTACTAGGGACTAGTAATATTCAGGTTGGAAGTGTAATTAATCATCAAAAGTGTTATTTTATCATATTTAATGATTGATTAATTACATATTATTTGTAATTAAATGTGTTAAATTTCTTAATTTTCTAGTTTAATACTTTTTCTAGTTGTTTGGTTTATTTTGCAGGTAAATTGGTTGATTTAAAGTAATAATTGATAAGATAAGTGAAACAATCAGTAGAGGAAGAATCACAATTGATAAGAATTGAAGAGTCAAGATTAAGATATTTGAAACTATGGTAGCAATTTAATTCTTATTAGAGTCCAAATTAGAAAAAAAAAAACTCATTTAAAGTTAGATTTGGAAAGTATCCTAGAAGATAAGGATTTGACACATCTTCAGCATTTTGATCATAACTTTTGATTTCGATATCCGATTGACTTGATTTTTATGGGGTTAGAAAGAAAATTTCAAAAGCTACAAAAGTTTATTAATATTTCATGATTCAACCTCTAAATATGCAAAAGTTAAGCTCGAAATATGGACAGATTTTGTACCCGTGACTCCCAAGATTTTATGCACGGAATTTAATCTTATAAGACTTCTTCTTGGAAATGAATTCTTCTCAATCTAGCCTTATATCTTTTACCTATTCCTATGATTTATTTTACTATAAATAAAGGCTCTCACCTATTGAGAGGGGATGATTTGGATAATTAGGATTATTCTTTTTCCATCTTTTTTTTTTTTTTAGTTTTTGTTCTATTTTTATGGCTTGCTAAAAGCCCAACTAGGACTAAGGGAAGATCTCTCAAAGAAGTACGGTAATGTTATTGACTTATGAGTTTAATGGTATGTGATATTTTGTTAATTTAATTTTTGATTTTTGATAAAATTTTTGCTCTGTAAAAATTCTTGAGTCTTTATATCTTATATGTTGAACACTTGAATTTCCATGCGAGTCAAATAATTGGTTACTAGTTATTTCACGCTTAACTTGGTTACATTTATTTCACATAATAATATAATTGGAGGATTACTCAGGTTCCTGAATAAATTTTTGATTATAAACAAATGTGTTTTCTTTGTCTTATTGCTAAATTTGGTGACTTGAATCAACCGACAATTGATTCTTGTCTAGGTTTGAAAACTAAGTCTTTAATCATTATTGTTTGGATTTGAGAGGAAGTACTTAACGCTCTAGTATTTTTAATTATTATTTTAAAAACCAAATCTATTGTTTTATAATTTCAAAATCTTTACAATAACTTTTTTTCAAAGCAATTTTCTTTTATTTTTCTTTGTGTTCTAAGTTTTCACAATTCTTTGTGGTTCGACCTCGAACTCCCAAGAAATTTATTACTTTGTACAATCTGCACTTGAGTGATAAATTCTAAAATTGTAACAATGACTTTTCAAAAATACTTCTTAAACTTATAACTTTTCATAGTTCTCTTAAAAGAAATAAAAGTAATGTTTGGAACCACCACACCATCACCACTACCACCACCACTCTCACTACCCCACCACCATCACAACTACCCCCACCACCACTATCACCACTACCACCACCACCATCGTCGCCTCCATCACCGCCCAACCACCATTGCCACTATCACCCTACCACTACAACCACTATTCCACCATCACCCCTACCACCACTAACCCCATTGCCCCACCATCACTACCACTCGTTGCCCTACCACCACCACCACAACTATCGTCGTTAACCCCACCACCATCGCCACCATTGCCAACCCATCACCACCTTTAACACAATCACCACTACCACTATCGTCATCCACCACCGATTGTTACTATCGTCGTCTACTGCCACCATCAACTATCATCGTTATTTCATTTTTATATTGATTACCATTACCACCATCATCCCCACTACCACGGTCAGCACCCACCACCACCTGTCATCGCCAATCATTGTCACCCACCCCTGCCCATACCTACCACCACCCCCATCACCATCTACTACCACTTATCACATTGTCACCTAAAAATAGCCATCGTCATCCACCACCACCATCATCACCGTCCACCGCCGCAACCCACCACCAACGTCGTTGCCCCACCACCACCACTGCTAACCATCATCACCATTGCCCACCACCTCCCACACTCACCACCACTACCATCACCCATGATTGTCACTACTATCATCGTTATTCAAAACCCACCACCACCATCACCATTGCCACCCACAGTTGCCACCACCACCACGATTGTCACTGCCCACCACAATCATCACCGTTCACTATAACCATCACTTTTTCTCACCATCACTAATGCCACCCGCCATCACTACTGTCACCCACCACCACTAGTACCGCTGACCTCCACTACCATCGCTCACTCCTATTACAATCGGTGTTTAAATTCATTTATCTCTCTTCTATGTTTGTGATTTGATTTTTTGTGTAAATATAATATGTTTATTGTCAATCATTTTTTTGTCACAAACAATAACTAGTATATCCGTTGTTTAGGGTCTAATGTTCCCTAAAAATTCCGTTGTTTGATTTCCAATAAGACCCTCTTCCGCTGGATTACAATATTATAGTAGTAACACAGTACTTTAAGAATTGTTCAAAAACAAATCCATCTCCTAAAACTGTAGAAGTAATGCCGTGATCAACAACAGCAGAACCTGATTAAGTGGTTTAGATATTGTTTATAGACATACTTGATACTACTGAATCCTTTCATTAGAATGATCTGCTAAACATGCATGCTCATTCGAGAGGGAGAAAGATTGAAATTAACTTCGAATCAAATAACAATAATATTAAAAAGATACAACTTGCGATTTAATAAAAACTATAGACACTGACAAATCATAACGGACAAACAGATTCAAATTATGGTAAAGTTCATCAACAAGTTTAATGTTTTGAAATGAAGACTTGCAGAACCAGGAACGAAGGAATCGACGTAGCTCCCTTCCATCTTCTTCATGCGAAATCGCATGGCGGGATCACAGGAAAGGTAGAGATTCTTCATCAGAATAGCGTTCGAACCTTCTGGAACTTTCAATTTGACGATAGTCTCCTTGAAAATCATATCGGACTCTTTGGGAAATCCACTCACGTAGTCCCTCAGAATTATCTGCTTGTTGCTCACTTCCTCCTCCGCCATTCCCGAAGTTTACGAGCTTTCCCTCTCTACAACACACAGAACACACACTTTGTATTTCTCACTCCAAAAATAAACCACAGCACAGACCTGCATGTGTGTATAATATAATGCGTGTTGTGTGAAAAAGACGAAAAGAGTTTGGCGTTACAAGTGAGGGCAGGGGCGGAGCTACTTGTGTTCTAGGGGCCCTTACTTATGAGTAACTCGACATGCATGTGTATGTTATAAAAGTCATTACACTTGAGAAATGATGCATTGTCCCCTTTAATTTTTAAAATTGTTTAATAAATAGATTTTGGTAAACTAAATATATAACCCTCAAACTATAATTCTTATGTCAATTAAATTTATACATTTTTTTTATGTTAATTGACTTTCTAAAATCTTTAATTATGTTAATTGAGTCCTTGTATCTGCATCCGTTAAAGTGTGTCACTCACGTGACCATACGACACAAAAAAGGCAACAGAGCTCAATTGAGTCAATCAAAGAGTTTAGGGGATCAATTGACCAAAAAAAAAAATCAAGGGCTAAATTAACACAAGGGTCATAATTTGAGGATTATATTTATAATTTACTCTAATACACATAATTATCAAATCAACTAAAACATCTTTTGCGAAACTGGACCTTGTTACCTCAAAATATTAAACACAAAAATTATGTTATTCGAGTTAACTATGGGTAAGAATGTTAAAATATGACACAATTTATTAAAACGATATAAACGTAATATGAAATTAGAAAGTTTAAGTCTTCTTTAAGCCACTCGTTTTGTAAACAGGTGAACTCGACGCAACATAATTAATAAACGAATCAAGTATGAATGAAGTCAATCAAAAAAAATACACGATACAAATTCGTTTATATACTAATTATATTCGATTCATAAACGACATGAATCCGATCTAATACGATTAGTTAGACACGAACTAATAAAATAAATTAGACTCAAATTGGACATTCTACAATAGAGACCCTCATGATCACACCCAAAGAAAATTACTATCAACTGATCACCCCTCTCATTTTTTTGATCAAAAAAGGAAAGAAAAAAAATCATTATTGAAATGAGAATATAGAATACTATGTTTATTCCGATACATGACATGGGAATTTGTGAATTTTGACTATTAAATCGTGATATCAAATACTAATAATGGCGTGATATTATCGTCGTAACAGTTTATAGACTTATCTCCTATGTGGAAGGCGATACAATGGGGTTGTCGTCCTCGGGTCGGAAATGGACACTATGTTTTCTCTTCTATTAGCAAATAGTAAAAGATAGCAAGCTAGAAAACATATATATACGAGAAAAGTTGAGATTAATAACTTATGAAGCAAAACATAAGATTATAACTAATAAATTGAAATTGGACGGGCTTTCAAATTCTGGGTGGGTTTATGGACCAATAAAAAAGGCCAAGCCAGACTGCAGGATGGGTTAGCACCTTGTAATCGGGTTTGGGCCAGGCAGGTCTCTATTCTGGACCGGGCTGTGGCCAAGTTTTTATAAGTGACATAGTTAATAAACTCGTAATGGTTACATAATAGTCACACCCAGTCGTTAACGTTTTTGAACAAACAATAGTACAATCTTAAACTTATTATAATGTCCCTCTTCTTTGTAACCATTCAAGTTAATATAAACAAAAACAATCTGACATACTCTTTTTGTACACTGCTCGTGCTAATCTAAAAAAGAGAAAATAACGTAAGGTAAACATCAACTGCTTAGTAGAAAATTTCAATTCCAAACCACGCGAGTTTGAAAATAAATAGTGAGCAATGATTCGGCATTTAAAAAAACAGACATTTCATACATAGCTCCGATTTGGATAAAATCAAGGGCAAAAAGTCGATTTTCATGATTAAGGTGGCCGAAAAGTTCCATCATTCTAATAATTTCTTTGTCATTTTTAATTTCAACTAAAGAAATATGTCTAAAAAGTTGAAACTTGTTGAATAAGATGACAGAGCAAAATGAATACCATACATAGTACAATCTCATAACAAAGCCAAAGCACTTACAGTAAAAAGATGTGCATCATTCATGAGCAACAACCACCACCTGTTTCCCAACACTGGTGGGGAGGATTAGGGTGTTAGGATGGGTTTGTATGCTTTTGTTGTCCTTGGTGGTGTTGAGAGTGCNATCGTCATCCACCACCGATTGTTACTATCGTCGTCTACTGCCACCATCAACTATCATCGTTATTTCATTTTTATATTGATTACCATTACCACTATCATCCCCACTACCACGGTCAGCACCCACCACCACCCGTCATCGCCAATCATTGTCACCCACCCTTGCCCATACCTACCACCACCCCCATCACCATCTACTACCACTTATCACATTGTCGCCTAAAAATAGCCATCGTCATCCACCACCACCATCATCACCGTCCACAGCCGCAACCCACCACCAACGTCGTTGCCCCACCACCACCACTGCTAACCATCATCACCATTGCCCACCACCTCCCACACTCACCACCACTACCATCACCCATGATTGTCACTACTATCATCGTTATTCAAAACCCACCACCACCATCACCATTGCCACCCACAGTTGCCACCACCACCACGATTGTCACTGCCCACCACAATCATCACCGTTCACTATAACCATCACTTTTTCTCACCATCACTAATGCCACCCGCCATCACTACTGTCACCCACCACCACTAGTACCGCTGACCTCCACTACCATCGCTCACTCCTATTACAATCGGTGTTTAAATTCATTTATCTCTCTTCTATGTTTGTGATTTGATTTTTTGTGTAAATATAATATGTTTATTGTTAATCATTTTTTTATCACAAACAATAACTAGTATATCCGTTGTTTAGGGTCTAATGTTCCCTAAAAATTCCGTTGTTTGATTTCCAATAAGACCCTCTTCCGCTGGATTACAATATTATAGTAGTAACACAGTACTTTAAGAATTGTTCAAAAACAAATCCATCTCCTAAAACTGTAGAAGTAATGCCGTGATCAACAACAGCAGAACCTGATTAAGTGGTTTAGATGTTGTTTATAGACATACTTGATACTACTGAATCCTTTCATTAGAATGATCTGCTAAACATGCATGCTCATTCGAGAGGGAGAAAGATTGAAATTAACTTCGAATCAAATAACAATAATATTAAAAAGATACAACTTGCGATTTAATAAAAACTATAGACACTGACAAATCATAACGGACAAACAGATTCAAATTATGGTAAAGTTCATCAACAAGTTTAATGTTTTGAAATGAAGACTTGCAGAACCAGGAACGAAGGAATCGACGTAGCTCCCTTCCATCTTCCTCATGCGAAATCGCATGGCGGGATCACAGGAAAGGTAGAGATTCTTCATCAGAATAGCGTTCGAACCTTCTGGAACTTTCAATTTGACGATAGTCTCCTTGAAAATCATATCGGACTCTTTGGGAAATCCACTCACGTAGTCCCTCAGAATTATCTGCTTGTTGCTCACTTCCTCCTCCGCCATTCCCGAAGTTTACGAGCTTTCCCTCTCTACAACACACAGAACACACACTTTGTATTTCTCACTCCAAAAATAAACCACAGCACAGACCTGCATGTGTGTATAATATAATGCGTGTTGTGTGAAAAAGACGAAAAGAGTTTGGCGTTACAAGTGAGGGCAGGGGCGGAGCTACTTGTGTTCTAGGGGCCCTTACTTATGAGTAACTCGACATGCATGTGTATGTTATAAAAGTCATTACACTTGAGAAATGATGCATTGTCCCCTTTAATTTTTAAAATTGTTTAATAAATAGATTTTGGTAAACTAAATATATAACCCTCAAACTATAATTCTTATGTCAATTAAATTTATACATTTTTTTTATGTTAATTGACTTTCTAAAATCTTTAATTATGTTAATTGAGTCCTTGTATCTGCATCCGTTAAAGTGTGTCACTCACGTGACCATACGACACAAAAAAGGCAACAGAGCTCAATTGAGTCAATCAAAGAGTTTAGGGGATCAATTGACCAAAAAAAAAAATCAAGGGCTAAATTAACACAAGGGTCATAATTTGAGGATTATATTTATAATTTACTCTAATACACATAATTATCAAATCAACTAAAACATCTTTTGCGAAACTGGACCTTGTTACCTCAAAATATTAAACACAGAAATTCTGTTATTCGAGTTAACTATGGGTAAGAATGTTAAAATATGACACAATTTATTAAAACGATATAAACGTAATATGAAATTAGAAAGTTTAAGTCTTCTTTAAGCCACTCGTTTTGTAAACAGGTGAACTCGACGCAACATAATTAATAAACGAATCAAGTATGAATGAAGTCAATCAAAAAAAAATACACGATACAAATTCGTTTATATACTAATTATATTCGATTCATAAACGACATGAATCCGATCTAATACGATTAGTTAGACACGAACTAATAAAATAAATTAGACTCAAATTGGACATTCTACAATAGAGACCCTCATGATCACACCCAAAGAAAATTACTATCAACTGATCACCCCTCTCATTTTTTTGATCAAAAAAGGAAAGAAAAAAAATCATTATTGAAATGAGAATATAGAATACTATGTTTATTCCGATACATGACATGGGAATTTGTGAATTTTGACTATTAAATCGTGATATCAAATACTAATAATGGCGTGATATTATCGTCGTAACAGTTTATAGACTTATCTCCTATGTGGAAGGCGATACAATGGGGTTGTCGTCCTCGGGTCGGAAATGGACACTATGTTTTCTCTTCTATTAGCAAATAGTAAAAGATAGCAAGCTAGAAAACATATATATACGAGAAAAGTTGAGATTAATAACTTATGAAGCAAAACATAAGATTATAACTAATAAATTGAAATTGGACGGGCTTTCAAATTCTGGGTGGGTTTATGGACCAATAAAAAAGGCCAAGCCAGACTGCAGGATGGGTTAGCACCTTGTAATCGGGTTTGGGCCAGGCAGGTCTCTATTCTGGACCGGGCTGTGGCCAAGTTTTTATAAGTGACATAGTTAATAAACTCGTAATGGTTACATAATAGTCACACCCAGTCGTTAACGTTTTTGAACAAACAATAGTACAATCTTAAACTTATTATAATGTCCCTCTTCTTTGTAACCATTCAAGTTAATATAAACAAAAACAATCTGACATACTCTTTTTGTACACTGCTCGTGCTAATCTAAAAAAGAGAAAATAACGTAAGGTAAACATCAACTGCTTAGTAGAAAATTTCAATTCCAAACCACGCGAGTTTGAAAATAAATAATGAGCAATGATTCGGCATTTAAAAAAACAGACATTTCATACATAGCTCCGATTTGGATAAAATCAAGGGCAAAAAGTCGATTTTCATGATTAAGGTGGCCGAAAAGTTCCATCATTCTAATAATTTCTTTGTCATTTTTAATTTCAACTAAAGAAATATGTCTAAAAAGTTGAAACTTGTTGAATAAGATGACAGAGCAAAATGAATACCATACATAGTACAATCTCATAACAAAGCCAAAGCACTTACAGTAAAAAGATGTGCATCATTCATGAGCAACAACCACCACCTGTTTCCCAACACTGGTGGGGAGGATTAGGGTGTTAGGATGGGTTTGTATGCTTTTGTTGTCCTTGGTGGTGTTGAGAGTGCCATTTGGAAACGGACTCCATGACGAATGGTAATTGCTTTTGTTTTGGTTTCTTTTTTCTGACTTAGTGGCTTGTTTGTTATGAAGGATAGTTGGATAGGGTATATGCAGAAAGAATTCGACCGAAGATGAATGGCTCGCAAGTTAGACGGAATTCTGGTTAATTATGAGATTGTTTTTTTTTTTTCCTATGTGTCTTGGATTATCTGCTCCCATGCTTCAAAAAGTTAAATTTGAACTGAATTTTGTCACTCTAATAAGTTGAATTAGTTAGAATTTAGTTTCCATCCAAATTTTTTCTAATGTTCCGTTTGGTATGATGGAAAAATAGAAGGATGAAAAGTTAGAAGGATCAAAAGTTTGAGGAATAAATAAAATATCATGTTTGGTAAGGAAGAAAAATATGAAGAATGAAAAAATAGATGGATTAACTTTCCTTCCAACTCACCAAAATCAATCTCTACAAAAATCGGAAGGAAAGTGGATGAAAAGTTAATTATTTGTGTTGAAATATATCTTATTTGTCTACTAGTTACTTATAAAATTTCAACACACAAAGATAGGATGTTTGAATAATTCTAACACATAGCAATTAGATTAGTTTTGAATATTTTTTGTTGATACAATTAGTATCTTTTTTTTTTAATTGCTGATTAACTTGGCTTTTGAATTTTTTATTTNTTATAAGAAGCAAAAGTAAGGCATGGACGCCTTAACAGAACAACCAAAGCAAAATAAGGCACAAATGCCTATCAAAACAAACAAAAACAAAACTCCAAAAACAAACAAAACTAGCTCCCAATCCAAACTCTTCATAGCAGTCACTCCCATTCAAACAAATCAACACTTCATGCAGGCAAAACCTTCAACAACCGTAGCCCTTATCATCAAGCATAATCACCTTCGTCTTGCACAAAACAAGCAATCCATTCTGATCCTCCACCAAAACAGAAGCAACCTCACAAGGCAACCTTAAATCTACAAAGTAATCCACTGATCGCATGCACACCACAGCTTGATCTGCAAGTCTATCTGCCACCGAATTAGCTTCACGAAATACATGGGTTAATATGAACTTTAAACTGCTCAAAAGAACTTTGATCTTCCTCAAATAACCCATATATTGCCAAGGACACTCACAGGATCCCAAAACCTGGGAATCGCATTCAATCTCAAAATCATAGCATGACAAACCATATTGCATGATCAATTCCAATCTCCAGGAGGACAAACCCACAAGGAGTACAAACCCACTTAACCCAAAAGCCATTCCATCCAACAGAATAATGAGAATCAATCTGTAAGAAACATAGCAGAGCCTTTCCAGCAACATCATCCTTCGCCTTTGGTTTAAAAACCCTCCCCTAATATCTCAAAATGCTACAAATTCTAACAAAAAGAGAATAAGAATATAACTTCCCTTCGCCCGCCAGCCTCCTACAACGCTGCTTCCAAAGTTGCCAAAATTTAATCAAAGCCAGACTTCAAATCAAAGAATGCTTTTTAAAGATCCTACATAATCTTGTAAACCTCAACAAAGGACTCTCCCCATGAATAATCTGAAATCCACAAACTGCAGTAAATGTAGACCAAATCATTCGAACATATTTACAATCCACAAACAAGTGATCATAATCCTCAATATTCACTCACCCCAAAACCACCTTTGTACATCTACGACACCAAAACCACCCCAGCACCCACCACCATGTCACCAAAATCACACACCCCAATGCACACAGTGAAACATTTTCTCTCCATAAACCCACCTAGTTGGAACAAATCCAACCAATCAAATGAAATGGAACAAGTACAGAAATAGCAATGAGATGGAGCAAAAAATAAAAGACTTCCTTTTTTGTTTTTTGTGGGTGAGGGGTTTGGCAGGACCCCTATCTGTATATATAACAAAAAAGAAAAAAGTATAAGGGAGGAGGACATAGAGCCAAACCTCCAGAAGTACAAAGTGGAAAAAAGAAAGTTAAAGCAAAAGCAAGGTGGTGACTCACCACCAAAAACATGAAAAATAAATGAACAGAAAATGGGGACTCCCCACAAAGCAAAATAACTGAGAACATAAAATTAAACTCATTGACGAACACGAGGAGTCTATCGAGCATCCAACACGAGGATGCCATCAATCCCAGAAAGAAGGGATGACGAATCAAGAAATTGTTGATTGAACTGCTAAGAGCAAGCCCAATTAGTTATGAAATCTGCAACCTGATTCACCTCCCGCAAGACATGGCAAATGCAAGCCCAGAGAGAAGCACACAGACGCCGAATCCGAGTAAACAGGTAAGCATAAACCCAGCACCCAGTATCCTGAGAAGAAATCCAAGAAAACCACTGTAATTGAATATGTCTCCACTAACAATTCTGAAGTTCCCAAATCTGCGACCAATTCCAACTCAGCACAAACAACCTGTAGCCCCATATACAAAATAGACTGATGCCCCAGAAACAAGCCAAAAGTCCTAAGAAACCAACCTTGGTGGTCTCGAATAACACCCCCTACCGCAGACAGCCTCGAATTGCCTTTAGAACATCCATCAACACTGATCTTCAGGCAACCTACTATAGGACAAGTCCAAGCAACCAAACGGGGAGGCCGAGATCGAGGGACTAAGACCCTAAGAGAATTTACAAACTCAAATGACTCATCCTGATGCAACTGACTTGGAGCAAACCTAAAAGCAAGTCCAACCAACTGCATATCGGTCATAACCCTCTAAACCACAACGGGGCACCTGAAAGGCCCGTCCATCAAACCTGTAAACATTATGCCCCTTCAATAAATGTCACAGAATAAAGCACGGTAGGAGAACCCGCACGTGACCTACAGAAGGAGCACAACGCCGCTAATGAAGTATCAAAGTATAAGGAGACTGAAACGACCAACATCTAATCCCAAACATCTAATAAAAGTGACCCCAC